TAGAGAATATAAAGTGAGGATATACCGTATTTTCCCATGTATAAGACGCCCCCATGTATAAAACGCCCCCTATTTTTGGGGACGCCAAATTAAGAAAACACCCATCAGCATTACCTGTGTATAAGACGAGCCCCAATTTCAAACTTTTTTTTTTGGTAAAAAATAAACATAAGTCCTATGCACTGAAAAATACGGTAATTTAAAGTGAGAGATAAAGATGGCTCTCCAACACTAGTTGTAATCATTCTTGGCTCAGCTCATAATCAACGCAACATACCAAGATATTGATTCCATGTAACTGGAGATGCGTAGCTCTTTTCCATTTATGAAACTCACAAAAATGAAAACACTTGGGTTTTTGCATCTTCTTTTTTTAACACAATGGCCAATCTATATTTATTTTAAGAAAAAGCCTTTCCAATAGTCTTTCAGCTTCAAAGAATCAAGATGGGGGGGGGTGACCTCTCAGATGGAAATTCCCACCATCACATTGAGCTTCAACTTTACCCATAAAGGGATTCAGGCCAGAGTAAAACACTAATCATACCAGAGAAACAAGGCAGACACAGAACATCAGCCTCCAATATACACAAGACATGCAGACAACCAAATGGAAACAGCCAAGCTGATGGATTAGCAACACACACACACACACGAGGAATTAGAAGGCACACTCAGAAACGTCGTTTTCAAAGAGAGGCACAAGAATGCAGCAAGAGAAGAGTCAATGCCAGCCAGACAAATGAAAATGAACACCTAAAGGAGAAAATGAATGAAACAAAAATAATCCGGCATGGCTCAACTGTTTTATCGAAGGCATGTGGTGTACAGTATTTGTTCCTAATCAACTCTATAAAGTCAGAATTCCTGGAAAGCTCAAAGCAAGACTACTGCATTCAACTGTGCCAGGGGTGGTGAACCTACAGCCAAATAACAGACCCTTTATTTTGCCCCAAAAACTTTCCCCAGGCCACACAGTCTGCTTTATACCTTGGGCATTTTTGCCTTCCTGGAATCTGTCCTTGAATATGTCAATGTTTCTTGCTTGTTCAGAAGAAACAATAAAGAATAGACGACTATATACAGGTAATCATTAGCTGCTCCTCCCACTTTTGCCTCTGGCCCCGCCCACCAATGGCAACAGAAAAGAGTGCAGAAAAGAGCGCAGCCTTTTGGCTGATAAAGGCTCCACACCCCTGCACTACAGGATATACTTCAGCATTGCAGTGATTTTCCATCTTTATAATTTCTTTCTAAAAGGTCTGTGGATCCAGAGCACTTGTTAAAAGTCCCTGTGAAGCATACTGTAGGCTTTTTGCCTCTGCCCCCCCCCACAGCTGCCCACTCCACCCCCAAGGGTGACATGAGGCTTACAACTTCAGTCTTGCAGCTCCCCGCTTACCAGCTAGAATAAAGCATCATTAAACTTCCAGGCTTATGGTCCAGAAATTCATTTTCATAAGACCTCAATTAACGGAATACACTTTCTTTTTGGGAACAGTTCGATCGCAAAGATTAGAAGTGTGCCTAATGTGTGTCTAAAAGTGTGTCAGCTCTAATTCAAGGCTGCAATGCTCTCCTCCTTTACCTCGAAGAGTCCCACTGAGATCAGTGAGATATATAGAGGAGAGGCACGAATACTCTGAAGTTTCCTGAGAAGAGAACTATTGCTGTTCTCTGAAACTGCAGAACCACTTATCACACTGTTCTTTCTATGGGGCTCACACATAAACCTCCCACAGGTGTGTCACCTAGTAAAATGGGGGCAGTGGGGGAAATAGCAAAACCCAGATAGGCTATGCTCACATCCTGAAAACCTGCAGGCAGTTTTGCATATGCACTCAAGAGGTGACAGACCCCCCCCCTTTTTTTTTTGTTCTGAGTGCATATATGGAAAGCAGATACAGTGGTACTTCGGGTTAAGTACTTAATTCATTCCGGAGGTCCATTCTTAACCTGAAACTGTTCTTAACCTGAAGCACCACTTTAGCTAATGGGGCCTCCTGCTACCACCGCGCCGCTGGAGCACGATTTCTGTTCTCATCCTGAAGCAAAGTTCTTAACCCAAGGTACTATTTCTGGGTTAGCGAAGTCTGTAACCTGAAGCGTATGTAACCCGAAGCGTATGTAACCTGAGGTATCACTGTACTGCACACAAATAAGAAGGAGTCAAAGAAGTGGAGGTTTAGAATACAATCATACTTTGGAAGTCAAACGGAATCCGTTTTGGAAGTCCGTTCGACTTCTAAAACGTTCAAAAACCAAATCATGGATTCTGATTGGCTGCAGGAAGCTCCTGCAGCCAATTGGAGCCATGGAAGCCCCATTGGACGTTCGGGTTCCAAAAGAACATTCGCAAACCGAAACAATTTCTTCCGGGTTTGTGGCGTTCGGGAGCCAAAATGTCCGAGTTCCAGGGCGTTTGACAACCAAGGTATGACTGTACTCTGTTCTTATTCTGAACCAGATTTTAACAAAGTTAGATGACATTGCCTGTAGCCTTCCCAAATTTCAGGTGCAGGTCTCTCTCAGCCAAAGAACCTAAGACTCTCGTAGTTCCGGTGTGTCTATCATCCATAACAATCCGTCATGCTGTCTGGGGCTGATGAGAGCTGGTGTCCAACAACTTCTCAAGCCAAGGTTCTCATAAACAGTGGCCGAGGTGAAAAACTGTGTGTCTGCACTGTGCCACTTCAGTCTATGGGTGGGAGCTCACATGACTGAATGCTGTTCCGTGCAAACACAGCCACACCCAAAACATTGGAAAGATTAGGTTCAGAATGAAACCATCTAGCCAAGCCTGACTTGCTAATGTCTATGTGTAGCAATGCTTATTTTGTGGAAGAGCCGTGGGTACAAAAAAAAGGAGCCCGACAGGCCCAGGTCTCAAACAATGAAGACAGAAAGTTATCTGGGGATCGAGGGGAAAGATCCTTATCCTCTTGCTCCAAGTTCAGATTCTGCCTACCCAGCTCCGGCTGAACAACCGCCCCCCAACCTTGCTGTCCCCTCTTGCCCTCAAGAGGAGATTGTATTTTCTTTTGAGTGCCCATCTTGAATGAGGAGAACTGTAAGATTTGAGACCTGTTGCTGGCACAGTACCATGCTCTAATCTAAACAGAGGTCAGGGTAATGACCTCCTTCTTCCTGCCTGGGTTGCAGGGCGGCTGGGTATGAGCACTTAAGCTATCCAAGCGTCTTCTGAAAAACCACTGAGAGGCTGGCTTCCTACTTAAGTTTTCCAGCTGCAGTTAATAGCTAGCTCTGCAGCTGGAAGGAACAAGCGGCATAGGTATGGGGGTGAGGGGTTCAGACTATGGAAGACCCCCCCTGCATGAATACTTTCATGTTCCTTACAGATCTTCCTAACAGACAGTTAACGGAAAGCTGTGGTGAAATGTTCGTTGTAAAGCACAACTGCCTTCATGCACCCTGTGTGTGTTGCTAGCCGACGTTCCACAAATCAAGATACAGAATGTATTCTAAACTTTGCTTTCCAACCACAGGCCACTAAAACAAGGCTACCAGCTAAGGGAGTACACAGGTATACCTCGGACATGTTGCGAGTTCTGTTCCAGACCACCGCAATAGAGCGAATGTCACAGTAAAGCAAATCACGATATATATTTTTTGGGGGGTGGGGTGTTTCCCAGTGCATATAAGAATTATAATTATCCTATACTGTTGTCTATTAAACAAGTTCCCCCTAGCTGCAGGGGTGGGGAGGGGAAAAACACAGCTCCAGCCCCAGCAACTCCAACCCTGTACTACGCCATGGAGATATACTTTGATTTTTAACTCCCATTCATCTGCTGGGTCTGATCTGTCACTAGTGAACGCTGGCAAATCCTGTTCTATGTTCACAAAAAGAAAAAAAGGATTTAGCAGACACAAGGAGCAGCGTAGGTAAGCTGCGGGACTGTGTGTAATACAGTAGGCCTGCAACTTCCACGTTCCAAGGATTGTGCCCCAAAAGCCAAAATCGCGTATAGTCTAAAGCCACTGGGTTCAATGGCGGGTGGGATTGCCAAAGTCCTTTTTTCTGGAACCTTTCCGCCCCTTTGTTGTTATTATTATTATTATTTATTTATTTGCCTTGCGCATAAAGCTGAATGCATCCAAGTTGCGGGCTTACTGTACTAAAAAAGTATTCAGCCAGTGTTAGTTTGTTGCTAGTAACTTTCTAAAAAATATATATATGAATGTCTTGAACAGAGAACGATTCGCCCCAGCTGCATTCGTAAAACTTATATAAGTAGGGATTATTTTCTAAAGGAGGAATTTGTTGTTAATGCCACAGATCTCATCGCACCATATCCATTTGCAGGGACCAAGCATTTGTGCTCTAAACTCTGGAAGTGATTTTGACTCGTATCAATAAACCAAAATATACACACAATAAGACTGTACGGTGGGCGTGGGGGTCAGCAACCGCAAGCTCTCGGTCAAATTTAGACTCCTAAAAGATGTTAATTTGCCACCTGGTTGCTGAACAAGAGGCAAAATCGTGGTGAAAATGGTTTCAGAGGTAACAGAACCCAATGGCAAGTCACTTTTATGGCCGAGGGTACCACCGGTCCACTCCCTTGTCCAAATTGCCTTGTGGGAAACTTAGTTGCTGACCAGGGCTGTACAGTGTTTCTCATGTCTTAACTTGCCTGCACATAGAAATTTTAAAATCTATATCAAAGTTGCATATAAATTTAATAGTACAGCTATTTTGTATGAAATGACTAGCAAGGGCTTGTCCCCATCCCTCCAAGCTTTCTAGCAAGCTACATTAAGCTACTCACATTGTTGTACTTGCTAAACGGCTGAGATTCAATATGCCAATTAGGAAAAGCACTACCTAAAGAGAAAAGCTTGTATATCGGGTACATTTGCCTGCTCAATGGATATGGAGCAAAGTGCCTGTGTCTCAGTTACACCATTTCAACCATTTTTTTTAATAAAAGTACTTTTAAAGCACGCCTGGTACCTAGTAAATAAAAATCAAAGACCTGTTAAGAACTGCGGTGAAGAGTTTGTTCTTTACAGATTGCAGCAAGTCTGAGTTGAGGAGGTTCTGACAGATGCAAAATGTACACCTGTTGCAGGTGCACATACAGCGTAATCGGGCATGGCTGCAAAAACACACAGAAGGATAGGAGTTGAGATCTCAGGCAGAAACCAGGGCTGAGCCAAAACCAAGAGCGGTGAGGATAAAACTGGTTACATTCCGGGGAAAAGTGAGGCAAGGGTAGGCTAAAGTTGTACAGATTTCCAGGAGGAGACTATTTTAGAAAAGTGCATTGTGCCCACATGCCTGCATCCCCAACAAGAGGAAGAGAGAGAGAAGGGAGGGGGGATTCAACTTTTATTTTATACACAGCTTAGAAGGAGAAGCAGAATGTAATATGCTCTTGCTTAACAAGAGGCAACTCCTCCTCAATCCATAGAAAGAACGGAATTCAGTTCCTTTCTCCTGCTACTGAAACTGAACAACTTCATGAAGCCAACAGCTACCCTTACCTCTTCCATCCCAACCAACACACACATGCTTAAGAATTGGGGAAAGAGAAAGGGAAGGTAAGAAAGTCAAATACATTGTTGCATATATTTCTCAAAACATTTGACTATTCCAGCTGGGCCAAATGCATTGAAGAAGACTTTTTTAAAAAGGAGCCTGAAAGATGTCCTCTGCACCCCCCCCCAAAAAAATCTGGACTTCCTGGTGAAAGCAATCAAATTAACCCATTTGAACAAGTGACAGCCATAACCCTTCAGCAATGATGTTCAAGTGCACAGGAGCACAGAACATTAAAAGTGGTTTTGGGGAGGGGGGAGAATTAATTGATTCTCCATGAATCATTCACTATAAGACCAAAAAATGGAAAATGAATGTTTGAAAGTATTCTACGTTTGATTACTAGATGTGAGGACAAGGTTATTGCCAACTTTATTGAAAGATTTACAGGGCATGTAGTTAGCCCTGGAGGGTGAGTCCCTGTGGCAAACACATGGTCCCTCACAGAAAAAATGAAAAATAAAAATAAAATAAAAAGTTCCTGTTCCAGTAAAGTCTTGGATCGCACTGAATATCCACTATTGTACTATAATGAACCTGTCATTTGAAGCGATGTCTAAACCAACAATGCAGAGAAGGTTAGACCTACCAGACTCACAAAGTCTGAGGACTGAACTTGTTTGGCAACAGAGCAAGATGCTTAGTGAGAAACAGCAACTTTGAGCAGCATTCAATCTCTGGGCTCACAAGCATCTACATGAAATGTAGGCTAGCTATTAATTTGAGTAGCAAGAAGTGTGGTCCAAAAGAGAGATAAACAAAAGCAAGAGAACTCCTATGGTGCTGCTAGAGAAAATATGGTGCAAGAATCGTGGAAAACAATGACAGTATCAACCATGACTGTAGGCCAGCTTGCTTTAGCAAATGTGCAGCTTGAAACCTCCTGAGGGTGTCACATTTTTTCACATCAGTATCTACCTTTCTATAGAGCAGAGCTTTCCAAACTGTGTGTTGGCTGCCTTGTGTAGGTGTCTCACGCACATGCTCCCCATGCTCCTTGCTAGCAAAACTGAATTACTGTGTTACGAAATGATGCATGTCTAAAAAGTGTGTCACCAACATGAAAAATCTGGAAAGCTCTGCTATAGAGCTTAAAGGTAAAGGTAAAGGGACCCCTGACCATTAGGTCCAGTCGTGGCCGACTCTGGCGTTGCGGCGCTCATCTCGCTTTATTGGCTGAGGGAGCCGGCGTACAGCTTCCGGGTCATGTGGCCAGCATGACTAAGCTGCTTCTGGTGAACCAGAGAAGTGCACGGAAACGCCGTTTACCTTCCCACCAGAGCAGTACCTATTTATCTACTTGCACTTTGACGTGCTTTTGAACTGCTAGGTTGGCAGGAGCAGGGGCCGAGCAACGGGAGCTCACCCTGCCACAGCACCACCTGTGTCCCAACGCTATAGAGGTTATTACTGCTGTAAGTAAGTATTGTAATTAGGATTTGTGTCATGTAACTTGCAGTTGTGTGAGTATTTCAACAGAGGAGAATTAAAAATACTTTCAAGTTGCTTTGCTTCCAGCTTGCCAGGAGCTCCAATTCCGAAAGGCAACTGGAACTGCGCCAGTGTCTCAAGCTGAAACTGTGTACTTCTTATTTGACAAGTCTTTGCTCTGTCCTGTATGTGCACCAACATCTATACCCCACCCTAGAAAACTGAGCCTTTTTTTCGCTTCACTCTAGAAGTAGTCTTCTCTGTAGTTCTGCTCTGTACAGAGAAGAATGGGCCTTCTCTGTAGTAGTTCCTCATTATATCACAGTCGTACCTTGGATTCCCAACGCCTTACGAGTCGAACGTTTTGGCTCCCAAACGCCGCAAACCAGGAAGTGACTATTCCGGTTTGCGAACGTTATTTGGAACCCCAATGTCTGACACAGCTTCCGATTGGCTGCAGGAGCTACCTGCAGCCAATCAGAAGCCGCGCCTTGGTTTCTGAACATTTTGGAAGTCAAACAGACTTCCAAAACAGATTCCGTTCGACTTCCGAGGTACAACTGTATATCTAATATGTTTATGTTTGTGTGTATTTTATATATTTCTAGGTGCCAGGCAAACATTCCTCTTCAACCAAGCCTTTGGCTGATTAATATTCTACAGCCTTTTAAATGTGTCTGTGGGAAGGTCAGGTTAATGCTTTGCTGTTTTGTTTTACTTCTTTCCATGTTTTTATCCTGTATTTTACTCTGTGAACCGCCCTGACGTCTGATGATGAAGGGAGGTATATAAATCTAATAAATAAATAAAAAGGATTTGAGAAACATGCTGCCCCCCGCAACACTGTGGTGAAACATAACTGTGATCCAAAAAATGAGTTTACATATGCCTAAGAGCTTGGCTACATCTAGCAGGATTCGGGGAATTTTCTTTGAATAGCAGACTACCATGTCACGTTTCAAAATCTGTTTCCAATTCCCTTCCATTTTGGAAGTGTTTTGCCATGTGGCATAGAGCGCGGCTCTTGAACCCAGAGCCACCTTGGACACCTGGAACTAGTTTCACAATTCTTTGGAGCTTGGCCCACATATTTATGAAGGCCTACTGAGGAAATGTGCTAATACGGTACACTGATAAACCAGATACCACCAAGAGAGCCAAATTCTCTCAAGTCTATATTTTGAGGTTGGGCTCTTCTTCATCTGTGAAAATATACAGTGTTGGGGACTTCCAAAAAGCAAATACTAATGTTTTACCTGAAGCCTTGTGTTTTGTCCCCCCCCAATGTAAATATACCTGTTTTGGTTCCCAGTAACACTGCCCTTGAATCCCTGAGGCAAAGGCTTTGGGACATCTCACATAGCGACCTGCGATCCCCATTTTATGTAATTTGTAGCCTGGTCTCAGCTGGAATCCAATACTGGTACGACTTTCAGATATCCTCATACCTTAGGAATTTGTCTGTACCTACCTATCAGCGTTTATTTACCAAAGCCAGACTAAATGTATTTCCCTCGGAAGTTCTAAATGGCAGACTGAGAGGCATCCCCTATCAGAATAGGCTTTGTTTATGTTCCCAGGAGGTCGATTGCATGAAGCATATCCTACTGCATTGTGGGCAATATGAGCAAGCAAGGGATCAACTGATCAAACCCTTACTGGCAAATTAGCCGGGAAAATCCAAAGCCTCCCACATTAAATATCTTTTAGAAGACAGGTCAAATGATATTACACTGGCCGTGGCAAAGTTTCTTTCGGAGGTTATAAGAAACAAAGATCATTACGCCCTAGATAAAACAAAATGACTGCCTTGGTTTCTTCCATCTGTCTGTCTGGTCGTTTTCACTGTATCTAGTTTTGAAATTGTTTGGTGGGTCTTTAGACCGCGGTAAAGTTTTGATTTGATTTGGTTCCCAGTAAACGAGGGTCCAGTCTCCTTGGGACATGCCCAAAACTCTTCGTTAATGAATGGGTAATGACAATGAGCAAGGCAGTGCATGCATTTATGGAGAGAATAGAACCCAATGTCTTTAAGCTAGATGCGATTCTGCAATGTATTCAGACAAACGTCTCAAAATCACGTTACGTGCAACAGTTGGTACGCCGGAGCTTTTTGCAGTTAATTTAGATTACTTGCATTTATTGGCCAATTCAGCGTTAAAATTCTTTGTTTAAGTTGCATCACCAACATCTCCCTCTGTTGCTAAACACATATTTCAGTGAGGCACAGAGTTCCATCCTTATGGCAACATCAACAACAACATGCAAAGTTGTCATGATCCATGCAGTTATGAATACTGGGGTTCTTTGGGTACTTACGGATACATGGCCATCGTTGTCAACTTAACAAAGATGTCCTTACTCGGTGCATCAACCGTGTTACAAGAAAAGGCTTGTGGTGGAGGCATTTTGTGTTTTTTGCAGAATTCGGCCGGGGAAATGCTGTACTCTTGTCTAACTTCATGAAGGTCTGACTTGGCAGCTATCACTAAGCAAGGTATCCTGCTGTCCATGAAGTGTTGCTAAATATTTAAATAAAAAACAAAGCAAAACACAGACAGACACAAAATAGAAAATATATACAAATGGGGAAAATTCATAGAATCTACTTATTCACACGGACTGTCCTTATGCAAATCCAAAAGGGCTTTCTATAAGCTTTTCCTCAAACAATAATCTCACGACCCATGTCCCACGACTACAAAGCAAGACTGCTTTTGGATTTTTGCAGATAGTTAAACCCCAAACTGTTGCATACAAATGCTTAATGTGACATAGAAGTTCGGAAACTTAGAGAAGTGTGGACTAGAATGCATCATTCAGCCTAAGGAATGAAAATAATCTATACGTACTGCTTCTTTAGATATGAAATTGAGACTGATCCAGCAAAAAAATAAAAAATTCAGTACAGTCGTACCTTGGAAGTCAAATGGAATCCATTCCGGAAGTCCGTTTGACTTCCAAAATGTTCAGAAACCAAAGTGCGGCTTCTGATTGGCTGCAGAAAGCTCCTGCAGCCAATCAGAAGCTGTGGAAGCCCTGTCAAACGTTCGACTTCCAAAAATAGTTCGCAAACCGGAACAGTCACTTCCGGGTTTGTGGCGTTCAGGAGCCAAGGTACGACTGTATATTAGACTCCATAGCATTTCTCCAATTTTTGGAGAAATTTTTGGGAGCAGCTATGCTGAAAATGCCACACTGAGGTATATGATTCTTTTTAATCTGAAGTTGTTATCTGAATCGAATTTGGTGAAATCTTTGATATTCTGAAATGTTTGAAGTTACACAAGAAACTATTTGTTGGGGAAATATTGTGAACGATGCCTGAAATCTCTTTACTTTTATGATAAATGCTTCCCTCGCAAAATAAAGTACCAAATTAGACTCCATATGGAATTATCCTGAACACTATAAATCAGTGTGTATACATTTGCTAAGAAGGTGCAGTCAATAAAAGCTTCCCAGAGCATCCACGCAGAATCACACAGAATCACACAGAATGTGTGCACATGCACAATTATTGCAAATTTCAATGTAGACGTTATTCCTGTAAGAATCCCGTTGCATGTGAAGCAGCCTTAAGAGGAAACCTATCATACTTCCCTTTGCCAAGTACAGGTGAGAATCACAGGTACCTCAAAAAGCCATCTAGTCCAAATCTCCTGCCAATACATCCCTGATGACAGTAACCTGTTTATACTCCCCTTCTTCCATGGAGTTCAGGTTATAAAGCTGATTCCCCTCCCTCTTGTAACATAGGATAGAGAGATTAGAGGGCAGGGGGCGGAGACAAACTATCTTGAGTCAAATGCATTTGACGTATTATTTACAATACCTGCATGTTTCTGCAACATTTATTTGCTATACTGCTAAAAGATACGTATTTGTGTGTGTGTGCATTTATTTTCTAGATTTTTTGTAACTCTTAGAAGATACACGTAAAACATACAAACCTTAAAAATCCTGGCACAGTATTCAAAGGATTTGGGGTTGCTGACATCATACACTAGGCATACAGCATCACACATGATTTCAGAATCACATAAGAAGTCAGATTCACAAACGTTATGCAACTAAGGGGGGGGAGATAAAAGATTATGAAATATACTTTGCAAGCATCAAGCATACTTCTTTGCTTTCACATTCAGGTCCCCCCGTTTTTCTTTTAAATGTACCCAAATGCAACTACAGTGGTGCCTCACAAGACGAAATTAATTCGTTCCGCGAGTTTTGTCGTCTTGCAATTTTTTTCGTCTTGTGAAGCACGGTGTCGGAAAAGTTTTGGAAAAGTTTCAAAAATCACCAAAGTCTTCAAAAACCTCAAAAAAGGCTACCACATGGCGTGCTATGAGTTGCTCCTCGAAGTCAAGTCGCAACTGTATTAACGGTGTTAAGAAAAAGGAAACAAACTTGCAAGACGTTTCCATCTTGCGAAGCAAGCCTATAGGGAAAATCGTCTTGCGAAGCAGCTCAAAAAACAGAAAACCCTTTCGTTTTGCGAGTTTTCCGTCTTGCAAGGCATTCGTCTTGCGAGGTACCACTGTAACATGGATGTAGACAGCATCTACTTATAGAGATCGGCCACTCTTAGTAGGAGAGGAAGAGTTCTTGGGGCGAATGTGTCTGCGTGCCTATATGTGTGTATTTTAAAAGCAGTCAGTGATCTTTTCCTATGAATTCAACAGGACATACATACATATATGCTGCATAAAGAAGCCACAAATCAAGAGTTACCACTGCAAATGACCTATGGGATATGTCTGCACACATCACTATTCGGAATACTGTGTAAGATGCAGACTTGCTGGCATATAACTGCCTGTACTTACACATCCTGGTAGATCAAAAGTCACGTGCCATGCATTTCATTGTCCCAAAACCACTTTAAATGTGGATGTCAGGGAACTGCCATCAGAATAGGGGCGGGAAACAGAGGGGCAGTTGTGTTACAGGGAGCCTCCAGAAATCTTGCGAAGCAGTTCCTCTTCCGGTGATGAGGAAAACCCCACCTCCAGTGGGGAAGAGGTGAAAGGCCCAGAGGATGCTGGTGGGAGCCTCAGCACCACTTCTGGCAAAGCCGGCCAGGAAGGATGAATGCCCCCTCCGTCACCCACCCTGCGCAGAAGTCTAAAGAGCAAAGAGGGAAGGAAGAGGCAGGCCTAACGAGGCTTTTATGCTGCAGGAGGTCCAGGAAACAGGCACTCCCGGATTCTGTTAGCGACTGAGGCAGACATGAACTTTGGGGTTCTGCACTGTAAATAGTTTGCACCTAAATAAAACCTGTAAGAGACAGGTCGGAATCCTGCCTGGTTACTCGTGAGCAGCCACACTTGCCATCTGACAGCAGCATATCATTGTTCAACCATTTCTTCATAGCCTATCCAATCCTAAGGCAGCAGGCAAATGCTTAAGCAGTTAAGGGTTAGGTGGCAGAAAGGAACTGTGTGTGTACTTGATAGCCCTTAAGGTTGCTGTATAAAGGAAGGCATGTGGCAGTGGAAAAATAGGTGCAGTTGCTAAAGAAGCAGGGATAGTGAATGCACACTATGGCCCAGCCTTCATACATCTTTGCCTGAAGATTTCACCACCATGAATCAGCTCAGCATAATATAGAATTTAAAGTTGCCATATTTCAAAAAGTAAAAATCCCGACACAAAAGGTGTTTTTTTTAATAGGAAATTTGCCCCCAAACCAACACTTCTGACACTGCCATACGCCCGGGCTTTCCTGAACATTTTTTCTGATTTCTGGAAATTCTGGACAATGGCAGCCCTATTATAGATACAATTTCACCTGTGAAATACTGCATTACAAATCAAAGCCCGAACTGGACAAAGCCAAAAACCAGTGCATAAAAAACAAGTCTCATGATAGAAAGCAGTTTCAGCTTTCAATTTCTAAATAGCAAGATGTTTCACAATTGATGCGTTTATATGGTGTCAGAAGTAAAAACTGCACTTTTTTGTATACTAAATGGATTGCAAAACTTTTATACAATTCCACTGGTACTTTGAAAAGAGGCATAAAAGAATAATGCTTCATATTAACATATCAATATAATGATATAGTCTTACCAGTAAGTATTTTTCCTGTCCATACACATAGACTGTATTAATTGCATAATAAGATTTGTGCTCTGGACGTATATGCTTCTGTCTCTGAAAGCACAAAAGAATTCCATTATTTTAAAAGCAAATGCTTCTCTTATGAACAAACTAATTTAAGCTTAATCAGAACAGAACAAATCCTATATTGCCGAAAGATAAATCAGGAATCTCTCAGCAGAAAACTGTGTTAAAAAAATGAGTACAATCTCATTTTGTGCGCAATTAACTCGCACAATTTCAACCTTATGTGGCTGAAAGCCGGCCAGTTGAAATCCCGCAAATCAACTGCATGCAAGGCAGAGAGTTTAAATGCTCCTTTTGCGCTGCGTTTTCCTGGTGTGGAAAGAGCTTTCAAGCTCTCAGAAGTGCTTGGCGGGCTCTGGGATTCTCTCAGAAGATATTGCGGGAACTCTGACAAACACACACTGTAGCAGCAGCTCTGCAGTGCTCCAGATGGAGCACTCTAGAGAAAACCTGTCGCTTTCTCTCTTAGCCATAATTCAAACCCAGAGAATAAGTCCTGTGGAAGTACCCTAGACACTTCTTCTAGCCTTTGAGAAACAGCCTCAATACTGACCAGTTCTCCATCACCTCAGAAAGAGGGAGCAGACAAACAGAGGGAGAATGAAAGAGAAGCAGCAAAAGAAGGGGAAAGAGTTTAGGAGTATGTTTGCAAGGCAGCGGTTACTGCCTAACCACAATGCTGTTTAGTGTCACAGGCTGCCACCTGCTAACAAAGAACAGAAGAATTCTTACCATTAGGTTTCTTCCAAGCAGTGCCTGGAGGACTCCACTTTTTCCAGAGCCTTTCAACCCAATTAGATTGCACCTGAACACGTTCCTCTGAGTCTGTTTTTTCTGCAGGTCAATCTTTTTATCTCTAGTTACTTTAAAAAAGGGTAGGGGGAGAGAGAAGATTTCACACAGATGTACATATTACAGACACAGGAATACTATGCTTTGTAACAATGTGCACAACCATAAAAGAATCAACGAGTTTGGGATCCAGAGAATAACCAGATGCTCCATGGAAATCTGCAGGATGGGGGTGGTCAAGAACAAGGTGAGAAATGGCACTGGGGGTGCAGGAGGGAAATGGCAAAAAAGTCTCTTTCCCTCCTTCCATTGGATCAGTTTCACTTCTGTAAAGGGACCCGGAAAGCTGTCTGTGGACAAATGCCGGCTCCCTCGGCCTGAAAGCGAGATGAGTGCTGCAACCCCATAATCGCCTTTGACTGGACTTAACTGTCCAGGGGTCTTTTATCTTTATCTTTACCTATATAGTTACAGAGTTGGCAGCCAACTGGATTATAACCAAATATTTCCTAGGTAGCAATCTTAAAAAGAGATTAAATTAAATTCTTCAGAACTTCCCAGCTAACTTCCCATAGCCTGCTATCCTTGTGTTTTAAAGTGACAGTGGAAGCATTTGTCCAAATACTCTACCATAAAAGTACAATCAATCATTTATTATATGGACACAGGACCATCAGTACCCTAAAGGTACCCTGGATGGGTCTAGCTAGCAACAGGGGAGAAGAATGGATGGTGATCCTCACATGGAACAGTTGCTTTTTCCTTCATTGCAGGGGTTGGACTACATGATCCTCAGGGTCCCTTCCAACTCTGCAGTTCTATGATTAGCTAGCTGATATGCAAAATTCAATACCCAGTCCACTACCTCTTTGCTCACTGCTAACTTTTGACACAGTCACAATGCTGCCGTCATGGTCAAAGCAACAACTGGCAGAAATATCCCTTAAATGCAAGCGGCCAGCTTAGGCTCTAGACCTGGCAACACTTTGCCCCTCTTGGCTCACTAGCCAACCATCCAACATTTTTTGTGCAAAACTGTCTATTCCATGGACAGGCAAACTAAGGCCCGGGGGCCGGATTCGGCCCAATCGCCTTCTAAATCCGGCCTGCGGACGGTCCGGGAATCAGCGTGTTTTTACGTGAGTAGAATGTGTCCTTTGATTTAAAAAGCATCTCTTGGTTATTTGTGGGGCATAGGAATTTGTTCATTTCCCCCCAAAAAAATATAGTCCGGCCCCCCGCTGAAAAAGTTTGCTCACCCCTGGCTCTATTCCAACAACCATTTCCTTTAGCCCAGACTGCACTTGACAGAGGGGTTCATGAGTGGTGCTGAACTAAGTCTCCTGAAGAACAAATGGGGGGGGGACTTTGATGCAGAATACTGGCACTATTATTTACCCAGCACTCCAAAAATGGTAGCCAATGAAGTGGATTTGGTGGGATGGGGAGAAGATGGATGGGACAAAATCATATGTTTTTGAACTACACATTATTGGACAGGTAGATGCCTCTCCCCTCCTTTTGTGTCATGTATATCACTTCACGGTTTGCCACTCTGCCCTTTGATGTTGCACATCCTCAATTGAAAGGGAAAAGGAAACTTAAGCAGTGAAAAAATTGTTTTCTAAAATCCTTCCAAAATACAGCGCAGCATTGTAGGCTGTTACCTGTAATTGCTGATGCCTGGGATTCCTGTTCAGTCAATATTGAATATCCTAAGTAGCCCAAATATTCCAGGCAGCGCTGTACATCCAAATACGTAGTTAGTCTGATGGATAGAACAAAAAAATTAATTTTCTAAGTTGTCTAAATTCCTTTGAGTTTAGAATCCCAAGATAAAGCACTTCAATATTTATATGTAAAGATGAAGTAAGCCTATACATTTACAAAGACTTGTAAAGAAACCAACATAATTGAAAAATTTATCTTTTCACATGCATTATATCAAAAAGGCAAGGAGTTGTCAAAAAACAGGGAATGGGAAGGAAGAACAGAGAAGCGCATTCATTCTGTCTGCAGAACGCAAAGCCATTCCATTCCACTTCTAGACACAGTAATTAAGTGTCTCCTGGTCAAGCTGCCGTTGCAAGAAGTTTTAGCAAGCAAACTCAGAAGGCATTTTCTGGGAGACTTGCTAGCTTTCAGCTGTGGCAGAATCAACTGGCAAAGCTTTTCATGGACTGTAGATTTAGAGCTGCATGCTCCACCCCACCCCCCACCAAAAAGCTCCCTACAGATAGAAAAATAACATGTTAGGCTAGACTGAAATCCTACCCCTTTCTTCTAAATGCGCTTGCTGTCAGTGTACAGTGGTACCTTGGTTCTCAAACGCCTTGGTACTCAAACAACTTGGAATCCAAACACTGCAAACCCAGAAGTAAGTGTTCCAGTTTACGAATATTTTTCGGAAGCCGAATGTGCTCCGTTTTGTGTGTTACGCTGAGGTCTGTCTGTTTTTGCTATTTATTTTGCATTTTTGCGGCTCTTTTTGTTTTGTTTTTGTGACTGGGTAGAACCCAGTTCAGCGACTGACTGATGATTGTGTGACTGCAGTACATTGTTTATTGCTTTCATTTTATGGATCAATGGCCTCCTTGGACAGTAAAATTCATGTCAAATGGCTGTTTCAGGGGTTGTTTTTAAAAGTCTGGAACGGATTAATCCGTTTTGCATTACTATCTATGGGAAAGCGCACCTTGGTTTTGGAACGCTTTGGTTTTGGAACAGACTTCCGGAACGGATTAAGTTTGAGAACCAAGGTACCACTGTATAGGTTGGGGTTTTTTAGGAGGTAGGGGAGCCTTCAGTCGCCTGAGATTGTTGCCTGCAGCAGGAAGCAGGAAAAACATTACCAGCCGCTTCTGATGATTGTACAAATTAGCTATGACCCTTTCAAACCCAGAATGGACTTTGTCAAATCACTTTGTGCCCTTAAAGCTGAACTGGTTGGATCGATTATGAGGAGTCATCCCTTGCCCACCCCTCAAACTCTGGCAGCCCTTTCAAAAAGCAAAATAAATACAGGAGTTTCACAGTTTAAGTGTCGCACTTACGTCCACTGAGAGAGAAATCCCTGATACGTTATCCATCCCCTTTCGTTTGTACAAACGGTGCTGTTGACATCTGGTCCCCACGGCATATAAGGGAAGATTTTGAACAAATCCTTGAGTTCATCAGGAGACAAAGCACAATCTCGGTCCTGAAAACAGATTTAGGAAATGCTGGTGCTTTATATTTATTCATTATTTATGAAGATGTTTTCTACTTAAAAAACCAATATGGGCTTGCAAGCAATGTATAGAACAGAAGTGAATGGTAATCACGAAAAGCAGAAAATAATTAACTAAGCCAGTCGAATAACTCCCCATAATGCCCTTGCTTTTCCATAATTCTTTAAGCCTCCCCTCTATTGGCTTAGATCATGAACCTCCTGGACAGGGAAACACCTGTTATGTAACACAGTCACTTGACCTGTGAGCCCTTGAAATAAACACTTTGGATTTATTGCCTAGGATAAAGGAGATTTCTATGGGTCTCTCAGAGTATTCTCCCCACTGCCCACCCACCCAATACTTTCAACAGTACAGACATTGCTAGAAGGATGCAATGAATATTCCTTACGCAAATAGCCCAAGTCAGATTAAAAGCTTACCAAATCATGCTTATCAAAAATGCTTTGGAGGAACAAATACGCATGGTGATTCAACTCTGTTGTGCAGTCCGGAGGTATTTTTAATCTGGTTAGAGAGCAAGAAACATTTTTATTATTATTACAAAAGTGTCTGCGAGATGTCCACAAGCAGGCAGGGCACGAGGGAAACAATATGAATGTAGCTCTATCTGACATATGCATACACACATAAGATATTTAAGTATGAAGATGCTGGATTGGATTAAGGAACCTACCTTTCAAATGTATAACAATTATTTGCATTTAGACTTTTTTTATTTTTTTAAAAAAACCACCTACTGATACCTACAAAGGAAATAAATACTCTGGTGTCAGCTCGAGGTCATCATCATATCCAAAACGCCGCAAAACTGTCCAGGTTGTTTCATGTCTCCCTCGCTGAATAAATAGTGTGTGTAGAAAAAGAAAACCTGGAAAAAAAGAACGTTTTTAAATTACTAATCTTGGCCACATAGCAATGACAGGTGTTGGGATTTTTAGATGTTAACAGAGGGTGAGCAAACTCACTCATTTGGAGTGAGCAAATAATCTTCAGAGTAAAATCTCCTACCCCCAAAAAATGTTACCCAAGAATCTCCTGTAAAAACTGTTGCGTTAAGCTTGCAGGTTTCCAAGTCGCAGCTGTAGTGACAGCACACTGAAAACTGCCTCCACCTCCAAGAAAATACTAATTGCGATTCCTCCAGCTCACCTCTTGGTGGCAGGTAATATAGTGAATTTGGGAGGGGTTTAAAATTGTACTTTTGCTTGCATGTTTATCTCAACCTTGAAAATATCCAGAAAGGAAGAGAAATGCACAGATGGAGCTAATTTAAGACGCAGCCATTTTGGAGTGACAGGTTTTGTGGACAAGCCCATTATCTACAATTCAATATATCCATAACATAATGGGTACTACACTTTGGTGTATTAACCCTTAAAAACATGCAGTTGTGTGTGGCTTCAAAAATAGCAAGAGGTTAAGTAATGCATTCTTGTCGTTATCTTTGTGTCATCTTCAGGGTCCATCCCATCTTCATATTTCAAGGAAGAAACTTGCAGTGTTTACCCTTTAATGTTAATCCATTATCTGCAACTCCATCGCTTAGATTTTTCCGGACTACATTCTTTACGTCTTCCAGTGCTTGAGGTGCCAACGGTGTATTAAAACAAATTCGCTAAAAAGAAGGAGGAGGAATATTAGAACTATTTCAAACCAAGGCTTGGTAATATACATTCAGTGGCCTGGAACATTTCACTACAGCCCATGATCTCATGTTAGAACCCCAACTTTCATACCAACTAGCAAGCTACCAGATCCCGCAGTAGCAGGTGTTTGAATGCATAGTGCCAACAATGGCTACAGGCTCAGAAACAAGATCATGGTTTCTAAGCCAGTCTTGTAGTTAAGCAGTGGCTTGGGGGCAAATAAAATTTCATTCAATGACCACATGAACTATCTATCTATATCTATATCTATATCTATATCTATATCTATATCTATATCTATATCTATACAGTAATACCTCGGGTGAATACAGTGGTGCCTCGCAAGACAAAATTAATTCGTTCCGCGAGTTTTGTCGTCTTGCGATTTTTTTCGTCTTGCGAAGCACGGTGTCGGGAAAGTTTTGGAAAAGCTTCAAAAATCACCAAAGTCTTTAAAAACTTCAAAAAAGGCTACCACACCGCGTGCTATGAGTTGCTCCTCGAAGTCAAGTCGCAACTGTATTAACGGTGTTAAGAAAAAGGAAACAAACTTGCAAGACGTTTCCGTCTTGCGAAGCAAGCCCATAGGGAAAATCGTCTTGCAAAGCAGCTCAAAAAACCCTTTCGTCTTGCGAGTTTTTTGTCTTGCGAGGCATTCGTCTTGCGAGGTACCACTGTAACTTATTACGTTCTGGAGGTCCGTTCTTAACCTGAAACTGTTCTTAACCTGAAGCACCGTTTTAGCTAATGGGGCCTCCCGCTGCAGCCATGCCGCCGAAGCACGATTTCTGTTCTCATCCTGAAGCAAAGTTCTTAACCCGAGGTACCATTTCTGGGTTAGCAGAGTCTGTAACCTGAAGCGTCTGTAACCCAAGGTACCACTGCATTTACAATTTAATTACCGCCCTATACCCACAGGTCTCAGAGCAATTCACAAGATAAAATAGCTTATTGGGTTGGATCCAAACTCCATTCCTAAAGGCAGTTCTGTTCAAGGGATGCCCCTGCTGGCAGGGAGGAAAAAGACTTGCCAGTTCACCATCCCACCAGCACGGCCTCCCACACAGTTCCAAGGGGGTCCCCCAATCCTCCAGGGCGGTGTGGGTGGGGTTGCAGGGTTAGAGAGGATCAGTAAAAAAAAAAAATCTCTTCTCCCTTCCCCTGCTGCTGGCATTCCTCGGATAGATCATAAACCCTTCAAAGACTGAAGATGCCACCCTGCCTATGGAAGGTAGTTTGAATCCAAGGTAATGTGCATGAGCTCAGAGTTCTGCGTGTGAACGGATTCTGCCCCACAGCGTTCTGTTGCAGTTGCACACCTATGTATTGTTCCTCTCTCTCTCAATCTCTCTCTGTCTCCCAGCAGAAAGCACTCAAATTAGGCACACCAGAGCCCTGTTATTTTCTCCCTGCCTCTCCATAGGAGGAAGCACGAACATACACAATACTGAGGGCAGGCAAAGCTTGTCATTTTCCTGCAGAGGCAACAGAAGCAAAGTCAGAGTGTGCAGCTCTGTTTCCGGAGACACAGAAATCCTGGGGCGCTGAATGGCTGTCCACATTTTTCTAGGTTATTATTATTATTATTATTTATACCCCACCCATCTGGCTGGCTTTCCCCAGCCACTCTGAGCGGCTCCCAATAGAATATTAAAAACACAATAAAACATCAACAGGATAAACATATTTGAAGGAGGGGTACAGTATCTGAGTGGGGTGAAGGCTATAAGTTTGATAACGGTAGTACTGGGAAAGGGGGTGATTAAAGTTTTCCAGATGGACCATTTTTATGGTCTTACAGTCGTTTTCTTCCAGTGGTGGAAAGCAGAGATCCCATAGGTGGGGAAGCAGATGGAGAGAAATCTTCCTTTGATGCTACTTTTTGTTTTGCCGGATAGGCTCCTGCTCAACCACAGGTATACAAAACCCTTAGATTCTGCATTTCCCCCTTTCCTTCATATGGGCAGCGGGGGAAACAAAAATGATGCTGAAAGAACCCAAAAGCTCCCATTCCAGACACCCGAGGTGCGACTCTACATTTTCCACATCTACAGTGGTACCTCAGATTACATACGCTTCAGGTTACAGACTCCGCTAACCCAGAAATAGTACCTCGGGTTAAGAACTTTGCTTCAGGATGAGAACAGAAATCATGCTCTGGCTGCGCGGCAGCAGCGGGAGGCCCCATTAGCTAAAGTGGTGCTTCAGGTTAAGAACAGTTTCAGGTTACGTACGGACCTCTGGAATGAATTAAGTACTTAAGCTGAGGTACCACTGTACTGCTTTTCTCCCGATCTGGCTGCTGCTAAACAATCCCCTCACACAGGCTGAAATTTCTGCTGGAAAAGCAGTCTTAGGAGATGGAAGAGTGACACCTCTCCTCGCTATCGTATCGTCCCCGTCCCCCCCGCTATCTCTCTCTCTCTCTTTCTCCCGTCCAGAAGAGAAAGACAGCAGACAGGATCCCAAGTGCTGCAAGCTTTTCCTCTCTCCTGTCCTCCCGCAGACCTGCTCTGCCTCCTGGCAAAAGCCTTCCCGTAAGGCTAGGGGACCGTGAAGCATAAAGGATTGGATCCAGACAAGAGGCATTCTGCCTCCTGTGAGCAGGAATGTTTTCCACTTTGGGGTGGAAAGGAATGCATTAAAATTACACCACTGGGTCTGGCTGGTTTGCTTTCCTTAGGACGGAGGTAATAGCCACAGATAAAACGCAGCAGCGACAGAAGGAGAAGAGAGGTACCTGAAAGAAGTTGAGTTCCGCATCGTTAAGGGTGCCATCATTATCCTGATCGGAAATCCTGAAGATCCGAGTTAGTGCTTTTATACAGGCAGGCTTCATCTACAGATCAAGAAAAAAAGCGAGAAGTCGGGTTTCTTTTTATTCTGGCAAGCCTGCTATTTTTTTTTTATTCAAGAGGAAAACCCTAAACCCTGTTTTTTTTAAAAAAATGGGACAGAATTCTAACAAAACTCTGCACACCCTGTTTCTTTTCTGTTTGTGTATGCTAGGAAAAGAAAAGGAGGGGAGCTGGGACAGAGAGCAGTGCAAGAGACAGGCAGTATTTCCCCCCCCCCCCCGACTTTATTGTAAACCTGAACTTTTGATCTCTTAATGCAGACTTGTAAAGTGGTGGAACTGCCATTCTGTTTTGCTGTGGGTCTTTTGCAGCACATCTTTAGGATGGGGAAAGCTACTAATTAATTTTCAGGATTGGGCAAATAAATATAAATATTTGAGCATTTTCTCTCTCTGTGTGTAAATGAACGTTTTGCCTGTAACAAGCTTGGGCTGAGAAACATGCTGAAGAACTGGAGGACTAATCATTATCCATCCCTTTCGTCCAAGTTCTTCATCAACTCAAGAACAAAGATCAGTAGGAGCTTTCATGGTGGCAGTGTTAAGCCTTGTTAGGATTAAAACAGATAAACTTTATAATTAAAGAGTTTAATTCCAAAAGGGGCTTAAGTCAATTTTGACTAACATTCCATTTGGAAGAAATTTATTTCTGACTAGGGCCTTTTTGAATGCAAACACAATTTTCAAGGCTTGCTAACGCAGTGACTTAGGCCCAAAAATTATACAAGTGCCCCCCCATATTGGTAGGACTCACAGCAACATCTACAGGCCAAAATTGAATTTTTTTTGTCAAAATTGACTTAAGCCCCATTTGGAATTACGATCTTCAATTTTAAACTTATTTCTATGTTTGTATTCTGCCCTTATATTTGTGAAACACTGGTGCACCTGAATATTGAGAATGATAGCTTAGTCAGGGATTCGGATATCCTAAAAATAACACCGAGAAGATATGGATATTTGTATTCACTGCTGTTGTATTATTACCATCCATTATGGTCATTTCATCAGACCTAGTTCTTCAGAAAACCAAGAAGCCAGCAAGCTCTATCAAGCTCTCCCTTGAAGGCATTTAAGGACAGTTGTGTTGGTCACCTAGACAGGCTTTCCTCCATCTCAGGGATCGAACATGATTTCAAATGGGACTGGCCCCAGCATGTAACTCTCCAAGAGCCATCAGGAAACCAGCTGGATCCATCAGTCTCTGAGGGCAGGCTGTTCTAGTCAATCTACCACAGGCTGAGTGCCTGTCTAAAACCCTACGAAGTTGTGGCTCTGTCCTCCACCTTCAGATCACCTTCATCCTGCCCCAAACACACACACACACACACACACACACACGAGCAAGCACGACCTACCATGACATGGAGGAGTGGGATTCGGGCCTAAAAATGGTTGCTGAAACCTCCCAGAACTATCAATCTGGGGCACTCTTGCGTTCAAGAGGGGAGTGTATTGGGCAGAAATATGGGCAGTAGAACAAAATCTCTAAAACTGGGAGGGTAGCTGTCACAGCAACCTGGATCTCCCTTGGATTGGGAGAACAACCAGAAGCCCCAAAATATTTAATGTTTCTTCTCTTATGATGCCCTGTCCAAGTCCCACTGCTGTATCTCCTCTGACAATTTTTCCTGGAAGACCTCAACCCAGGCTACCCCAATATCAAATTCACACTAAATGAGTATCAGCCTCAAAACAAAAGCAGAGGATAGCAAAGATTTGGGAACTCCAACAGGTGCCTCTTTTAGCTTTACATGACTGAGAAATACCAAAGCGCTCTTTTTGGAGACAGAAAGGACTGTGCTGGTGCACAAACTTTAGGGTATATTACCCACAATGCTGATTTTATAACACAAAAGCAGTGAAATACCTCTTTTTCCTCTGGACAATAGAGGGGTCCTGTAGGATGTAGAACAGCTTTCTGCGCATAATAAAATAGTTCGGATATGTTCTTCAAGTTCTTGGCTGAGCACTAGAGGGAAAAAATGAAATTATGAGTCTTGTCAGCTTAATACAAAAGCAGGGGGAAATCCTTGCCCATACGCACCAGGCTGTTTTCTTTGGCCAAGCAATGAATATTCTACATTTTATTGACTCAGGTCCTGATGGGATTATTTTTTACATTGAATGGTTTTAACTGCTGTTTTATCTTGTGTGTTCTAATGCTGCTTTCATGCTGTTAAAGTTAGTTGACTGATCTACACCGTTTTATTTACTGATGCCTTAACCAGCTGTTATGATTTTACTGTCAGCTTAAAATGTTAGTTTACATTGAAAAGTGGGTTATAAATACTTGAAATAAATAATGGACTCTGCAAGAATACAGAGACACTAAACATAGCATCAAGGCAGCTTTAATTCCACGCAATATTATTTTAATGCCAATATCATCCCCAAAGCAGCTCACATCAATAAAAAAAAACTGAGATGAGGGCCCAGAGGTGGTGATGGCTCTGGTCTTTTGAAATGGTCCTCAAAATCTCCTGGCCCTTTCTCCCATTTGGAAACATTTTTTTTTTTGAGGGGGTGGTGGAATCCAAGGTTGCACAAGCAGATTTCTGCTTGTGCAACCCACTGGAGCAAATTTTGGAGGTGGGCAGCCGAGAGAATTTGTGTACAGGCCTGCATAGGTACCATTCTAGAGAACTCTTTAATTCTGCTTTTAAGCCTCCTGGGTGCACAGCAAAGCCCAGTGCTGGTGAGGCCCCAGTCACACAACTGTCAGTGACTGATAGAAATAAACTAGCATGTGCTAAATGTCATGTAAAAGTTCGGCCTATGCACAGGCCCTTCTATCACGGCTTATAGAAAAAAATGACAGGACATCCAGGGAAAGGGGAGTGGTGTGGGAAAGAGGAAGATAAGGCTCCACTTTGGCATTGTCAAATGTGAGTATAGCCCTGAGCTATACTGGGAGGACAACAATAGCAGTGGAAGAATATCAAGGGCATTGGCAAGGGGCCAAGAGAAACAGAAGTGGGAGATATTAGACTGACACACACAGGTTGAAAAGAGTTAGAGCTCCTGACTTGAAATCGTATCAAAAGTTAAATAATGTAACAACACGAATAGAAATCATAAAGAATGCAGATATTATCTAAGTGATTACTGTAACAATTGGAACGTAACTAGAAGTTAACAATAACATGAGTTGCAGAAATATAAGAATCTGATGAGAGCACTGGCTATGGAGTGCAGGAAACCACTTTAATAAAATTGTATTAAAGTGAGCAAATCTTATTAAAGTTAACAACGTAACCATTAAGCCACTGTGAATGCTAAGAAAAAGCTTGTTTACCTCTACGCAAGTTTCTATCTCTGTATATTGGTTCATAATGGGAAGGATCGTCTCCATACTACTGTATTCAACCAGATCTGATTTGTTCCCAACTAGTATAAGAGGCAGCCTGAAAGTAAGTTGAGAAAAGTTTTTGCAATCAAATATAATAGCAGTTATTTGGCACCTTATAATACTACCATCATTATGACTGTCCACTGAACTATTATATAAGCAGGTTTGTGTTTCAATTTGGTAAAAATGAAACAAGTCTGAGTAAAACTGGGTCTTCTTCCAGAGCAAGCATTTGCAAAATTAAAGATTCTGATTTCTCTTGGGAAAATATTTATGACTAGCAAACCAGTTAGCCAATGAAAATTACAATGCCTGCTAAACCTAAGTCATAAAAGACTTCACTTTGAAGTTCTTTGCAGCAGGTGGCCTCAAAGCCAAGAGCTCGGTGTGTGTATCAAAAAATGAACTAAGTGCGCAATAATTAAAAACAAGGCAGCCTTGAAATTTCAAGTAACCTCTGTACAAATTAATGTACTATACATTCACTAAAGTACCCAGTGTATTAAGCATATTCACAAAGTCTCCCCAAGCTAATTGGAAAATGTCATTTTTAAAACTTTAGGAAACTTAAAAACAGCTTCCTGAAGTGTTTGCCTAAGATATGACCTGATTTAAGTCAAGCAAAGAAAAAATGTTTAGAAGATAATTTGAATTTATCATCAACCTTCTTCTGAAACACAATGGCAATTTCAGCTTCCAACACTATTCTTTAGTTTAACTATTTGGATTTAAATAGTTTAACTATTTGGGTTTAAAGAAATAGTGTTTTGTGAAGCATCTACCGCCCTTAGATAAATAATTGTCAGAACGCTGCAGCTCGCCAAAGACTATAAATGTTACGTTCATAACAACAATTGGCCAAATAATAAAAGACAAATACAGTATAAACTCCACATAAAGTAGATCATGAGTGTTTAAGCAGTAAGTGTTCAGGCCTTATTGCATACTGACGCTTTTTGCTTCAGCAAAGCTTGTAAACCAGTCTCAGATTTACATTTAATCTATTTACATTGTTTTAAACTTATGTACCTGCTGTCTTTGTCTGTTCTTTCATTAATGAGAGGAATCCATCGACTTGTTACCTAAATCAACAAATTAGTGTTAATTAATAATATTAGACTGGGCCGTTATTTACATTCAACCCGAAACAAATGTTTTACCACATTCTTTCTGGATTCAATGAGTATTGGAACCCCTTGAAAAGTCTGGCAGACAAATTCCTCCAAGAATTGGAATAAAATTTGGGAATCTTGACCCTAAAAAACAGTTTCGAGTTTTTAAGTGGAAAATGCTTTAAAATATTATACAGATGGTATCACACTGCTCTGCAAATGTCATAAATGTCAGAAATTGCCCAGTTGCTGGAGGGGTTGCAATAAATTTGGTACGTATTATCATTTATGGTGGGAATGCCAGCTGGTGCAAGATTTTTGGAATTTAATTTTGACAGAAATGATAAATACGACTAAAGTTTTCCAGAATTAATACTATGGAAACACCAGAAGAATGGAAAAGCAAGTCAAACAGCATCCCCAACAACCAGAAACTCAAAGAAGCACAGAAACGTAGTTAATCTCCACCCAGAGAAACTTGTGTTTCAGTGCATTTTAATATTATTTCAGTGTTTTGGAAGTTGGGAGTCCTTGCCTTCTAATGCAGAATGTTCATGCAGTCAGGTTACAAAAATGCTAGCTTTTTCTATCCCCCACACTCTTCCTTAAATGTAAGGACAGGAGGAAGACGCCAATGCACGAAGGCAGTTGTAATGTACTTTGCAAGATTGAAAATGTTGAATGGGGGGGGGGATATTTGGCATATGCAGATAAACCACGTCTTGACATTCAAAGCTTTTCCAAATGAGAATCTGGACACCTTAAATATAAACTTGCACATTCAAGGGGTCGGCTACATCATGAACACCAGCTAGAACGCAACAAAAATACTTTCCTCATACCTTTTCAATTGAATTCTTGTTGTTAACTGCATATACAATGCAGATTACATTCGCCTGGAACAGAGAAGAAATAGCCAGATGAGGACAGTAAGGTTTTCCGAGGTTTTAGCACCTAGAAGAACAAATCTTAGCATACATTACGGGTGGAAATGGTAAAAGCTGTGTAACTGTAAGTAGAGGTTTACTTATGAATATGATTCAGTCGACAGCTAAAATCAAGATGACACAAATAGACAATATGCATTTATCTGCATATTGGGCTGTAGTGAACGTTGTGCGAGTTGAAGACCAGTTTGCAAAACCAATCTTTACTTTCCTGTCCAGTCCCCTGCAATGCCTTATATCCCCAGAAAGTCTTAAGAGAAAGCCAGAGGTAGGGAATCACCCAAGATGAGGTGGAGGAATCTTGCACTCTGTTGCAGCAAGATTATTCTGCCTAAAGTAGGCCAGAAACACCATTACAGTGGTACCTCGGGTTAAGTACTTAATTCATTCTGGAGGTCCGTTCTTAACCTGAAACTGTTCTTAACCTGAAGCACCACTTTAGCTAATGGGGCCTCCTGCTGCTGCCACGCTGCCAGAGCACGATTTCTGTTCTCATCCTGAAGCAAAGTTCTTAACCTGAAGCACTATTTCTGGGTTAGCAGAGTGTAACCTGAAGCGTATGTAACCCAAGGTACCACTGTAATTGCATTTATCTTTTGTTTATGGATCTCGAGCATGTGCTTCCTTCAACACTTAAGTCAGCACAAAAAAAAGCTGATGGGAAGGACTTTTTCTTCCAAAGGGTTTTGCAAAGATTTATCCAAAAGATGTTCTATGAAGGAGAAGGAAAGTATGTTTTCCACACCAGCATCTGGGTTAGCTGTGCCTAAGAGAAAAGTTTGGATCCCATGGAGCAATAGCTCAAGCAGAAGGCAGCCCTAATTGGTATGTCATAGAATTGAGATTAAGAGTCTTATGCTCTACCAACTGAGCTATATTACACACAATTGTATCCTATGCCACATGGGGTGTGTCCCAAACCTTGGGAGCAATGGTGTGTGCAGGCAGTGAGAAAATTCTGCTCACAGCTCATTGGATCCAAGCCAATATGCTCACGCGGTAAAAAATGGAAAACGCCAAAGATTACTTCTTGCAGGGTTCTGGCTTGTAGGCTGGAAAAGCATTTTTTAAAAAAATAAGAGATAGAGCTTTGAGGACTTGACTTGATCCAACAGCTGGCCTCAATCAAGGCATTTCAGTTTTCAGCCTAGACACAGCCAACATGGTGTTCTCCAGATATTGCTGGAATATAACTCTTGCCAGCCCTAGCTTGTATGGCCAATGTTGTTGGCCATCTTGAAGGCCCCACGTTGGTTACCAATGATCTAACCCAGTGGCCGGAGATAGTGAAGGAGAGCATTTTACAGTCTGAGGCAGGGGTCAGCAAACTTTTTCAGCAGGGGCCCGGTCCACTGTCCCTCAGACCTTGTGGGGGGCCGGACTATATTTTGAAAAAAGAACGAATTCCTATGCCCCACAAATAACCCGGAGATGCATTTTAGATAAAAGCACACATTCTACTCATGTAAAAACACCAGAAAGACCCCACAAATAACCCAGAGATGCATTTTAAATAAAAGGACACATTCCACTCATGTAAAAACACGCTAATTCCCAGTCAGTCCATGGGCTGGATTTAGAAGGTGATTGGGCCAAATCTGGCCCCCGGGCCTTAGTTTGCCTACCCATGGTCTGAGGGTTTGCAAGGTAACTAGATCATTCTCTGCAGAAATCAACTTGTGGATCCTTATGAACATTACACTACACGTATACAATAAAATAAAATAAATATCAGTCGCCTGTTATTTAAAGGCTGCACCAATTCCCCACAACTGTGCTCAGAGAGCTATGCCCTTGAATGACTCCAGAGTAAATTAAAGCCAGTCTAGCCTTTCTTAGGTGGAAATAATTTCACTCTGACACTGTTTTACAAGGCAAATATAAAACAAAGCATTTCGGCGCAAAAGGCACATTTAACTCACTTGCGATATTTCATTATGGAGCTGTTCGTCACTTTGTTCGGATTCTGTGCAAAACAAGAGAAGTTTTGTTATTGTTCATTTGTTCTGTGATGGCGATGATTCAGTCAATGAGGTGTATAAAAACTGCTAATGAAGTGGATAAGCATTTGCCAACCGGAATAAAGTTTTCAGCTAAAAATACATTCTGTCTAAAGCTGACACATTCACCTTTCTTAAAAAGTTTTATATGGCCTCCAGCAGATACCATCATCTCCTCAGGCCTTCTTTAATGAAAGACCAGGTTTCTTACTTTTTATTTTCTTTAGTAGTGTTCACAATGTTTGTGGCTACATTATGGAAGAGGATTTTTTCAGAAAGCAACAGCAATTTTACTACTGTTTTCCAACACAGCCATGAACATATGTGAATGTATGACAGTTTTACTATTTAAAATGTGCATGTTTTATCTCACAGCTTCATTGCACTGGTAAAATAAAGACTTGGGTGCACTCTTCCTGTGTGGTTTTGTCCAAAAACGTGGAAATATCCTTGGCTACATGCTCTTTAGCCTTCAGCTCCCAAGGGAAATCACATGGAAGTGGAAAATAATTTAGATGAGAATGAAAAGTATATACTGTCATTAGGAAAGAATGTCACAGAGAAAAGAATTCTTGCAGCACAGTCTCCAAAGCAGTTTCTAAGATGTCTTTTCCTGAATACCATCTTAAGAGCAATGCTGATACAGATGGGGAAGAATCGCTTGTTTTTCTTGCTTGAACAAGACACTGAGTTTTGGAAATGAAGTGTACAGTGGAACCTCGGGTTGCAGACATAATCTGAGACGGAGGCACGTCCACAACCCGCAGCGTTCGCATCCTGAAGCCCCGTGTCTGCACCAGTGCAATTTGGGGCTTCTGCGCATGCGCAAAGCGCAATTATCACTTCTGCGCATGCAGCAAAACCCGGAAGTAACCCGTTCCGGTACTTCCAGGTTTCCCGCGGTCCGCAACCCAAAAACATGTAACCTGAAGCATTCGTAACATGAGGTATGACCATATAGGAAAGACAACCGAAAACTTTACAAGTTCAAGAAAACTGTCAGGCAAAAGCTCTGTTTGCATGGTTAACTGGAACAAGTTTGGACACTGGGATTTGCAAAGCCATAGCTTTAAGGCATCTCAGTTAGTCCTACATAATCCTGGCTGGGCTGTAAGCCTCACACTGGGCCCCCAAGTACTGTTGTGGGTGGTGACACAGAAACTTGTATTATCTATAGCAGGGCTATACCTTTAAAACTAGCTAACCACAGTGCTTGAGAACACTTTCGCATTTAGCCAGATAATGAATTTTAGCTATAACCAAAAAGTTATTCCATTCCATTTACATATATATAGCTGGCCCTCCTTGACAACAAGGGAGAGCGTAAAGCTAGTCCTTGATTCACAGGATGGTACTCTGTATGTGCACCTCAACTTTCATTCTGATGTTTCCATGGAGGGATGATGCTGCTTTGAATTTTGCATCATCCTCCACACTTTTCAGAACGTGCTAAATTTCATTCTTATCCGGAGTACAAATGATCCTACAAATGGAATGCCAAAACACTTAGGCTAAACGCAAGGGCTTCACTCAGACAAAAAGCAAGGGTGGAAATCCTGCTAAGATGGCTGAGAGCTGAACTGCTCCAGATTTTTTGCATAAATTCTCTCACTTCAAACACTCCCGTGATGAGACAATATAGTTGTCAGAGCACTGCTAGAATGGAAACACTGTGCGGTATCCAAAGAACATGTTCCTCTTGGGCAATGTAACTTTTATCTCCTGCATCCACCTATATTGTTCCCAGGGTTCTTCCAAACCTCAAGAGCAGATTTGAGGAGGGTGTGCCAGGCTGTTGCGCTAGTGAAAATCCTTGAGCTGATGCAACGAGTTAGTTGGATACCACCCACTTCTCTCAATAAAGCACAAGGGTTTACAGTGCATGTACAAATAGGAAGCACTGCTATTCAACCAATTAAAAACACACACTTGCTTTACTCCAAGTATTTGGCAGAAGCTAATGTAGTTCTGCACCTAGCCAGGTGTACATTAAATCCATCTTAAATACCAGGTGACTTGGTAGCTGCAGGCAGGCAGAGAAGCAGCCAGGCACTCTATACCTGGAAGATACTACAGGAGTTACCAGGAGCCTTCTCAGCAATCTTCCTGTCCAAGATCTTCCATCTCAACTACCGCATGACTACAGGCAGCTTCCAAAGAGCACAAACCATATTTCAGGGTATCTAAGCAGCTACTTCCATTTATGTAACAACAACAACAAGAAGAATAATTTTTGAACTGTCTTCCAAACACATTTCAAAGAGATTTATAAAAACAGCTAAGAGAGTTTTAAAACCAGTAAAAAACACAACTAAATATGGGTTTAATAACAATACAAAATGTACACCTAAGCCAGGTATTTTTTCATACATCTGAATAAAGGCCTTTTAGCCCCTGGCTAAAACATTGAGCATTTTCCAGCTGTTGGGTTATATGGGTGCTAATAAGGAAAAAAGTGATGTTTGTGGGGATCATGGGAGTGTTTGGGATATTAGTTTATCAGTGGAAGGATGCATGAACTATAGAGGCAGGGGGAGCCTGTGTCCTATTTTATGTGTTGATAGGCAGAGGACGTTTCTTGGTTCTTTCGTTCTCTGTCTTGTAAATGTACTTTTCACCATCTTCCTTTATAGTGTCAGTCAATTATATTGTGATCTCTCTCTCTCCCCACCACCTTTTCGTTTTATAAATCTGTCAAATCATCAGATCCATTACCTGAATAATCCACTATATGGGTTGGCACTCTCTCTGGGGTAACATCAGCTGGAATGGTGATTTCTTCTGCTCGTGGAGGAACCTGCATTTGCGAAAAAGAAGCATTCTTGAAACTAGCCCAAATGCCAAAGAAAACTTGATAAATACAATCAGAAACCTTTGAAGCAAACGGAAATTTAGCTAACATATTTCAGATCCTTAACACTTGCATGGTTTTACAGCCTCCATCAAGGAAATTCCAAGCCCTTGCATATTTTGCCAAAGCCAAGTTTTGAAATTGAACACTTCATAATGAATAGTCCAATATATTTTAAATTAATTTCATGGTTTCTACACATAAACTTCAGCTATGAATTAGTTTGAAGTATTTTTGCTATGTATCTCCCTGATCAATGAATGTCAAGATAAACAGGAGTGAGCTATGAAATCCCACTAAATATCTAGCATATTGGCTGTTTTCCTCATTAATCTGGAATGAGCAACAGGATGGATCACAATAATGCTATTTCTTAGACCAGTCAGTGAGTTTGTCAAGTCTTTCACCATCTCTGTATCACCAGGTAATTTATTATTTACAGAATTTATAAACTGCCCTTCTTTTGAAGAAATCTCAGGGTGCTGTACAAGAAAATATCAGAACAAAAACACATTAAAACAACAAAGTATGATACTTTTTTAAAAAATAAAACACAAATCACATCAGCAACCCATGATAGCAAAAACCAGTCAATAAAAATAATCACTAAAAGCTGGGTAGTGAAAGTTCAGCAAATGCTTGGGTGAACTGGCGCTCATTCAACCCAGCATGCTGACATATTTTATCCTAATGGGAATTATACTAGTATCACCGTGCAGGCTGGTGAATGAAATCGATTGCCAAACCCAGCAGACAAACGATCAACTTGAAATGCATAAAACAGTAGCAGTGCACCCTAATGGCATAAAGTCCTTTGCATTTTATTTTGTTTTGTGTTTGCAAACATCCTTCCGACAGCTACTGATCTTTATTAAAACATATTTTAATACCTATGTTAGAGTTTTAGGTGTTTGCAGAGGAGAGAGAAGAAAAGCAGAGTTGGGTCTGGGTATCTGACTGACTAACAGAGCTTGTGGAAGCTGACATTTTTGCCCCATCCTCAGCGCTTCCCAAACAACCTTCCCCTTGTGACTGGGAAGGGCTGCGGCACAGGGGGAGATGGCCAAAAAAGGAGCGAAGGCTGTTCACATCATCATCCGTGAGTGGAGCTGAAGGTGTCTCTGCCTCGTTTTCTGCCACCTGCCCCTTACCTGTTCAGTCTTCCATGCCAACTCCCCCCTCATCAACAAAGTTCATCTGCCGCTTGGGGGAAATGTCAGCTTCTGCCACAACTGTGTTGTGTGGACAGATCTCCAGTTTCAATCCTTCAGATTCCATAAAAACAATAACTGCATAATACATTGTTTGATTTTATGATTTTTCTACTTCTTTTATGGGACTTAAAAAAACCAACACTTTTCCTAATGGAATTATCATGCAAACTGTTTATGAAACTGCAAAATGCCCGAAGGATGCTGTTGCTCGGGAAATACAGAGATACCTAAAACAAATACATCTTACCTCTTCAGGAAATTCTTCACTGACAAGAGACATAATAAGTGACGTCTTCCCAACTCTGGCTGTAAAATTTGAACACACACAAATTAGCAGAGGATTTCCATAACCACACATCTTATTTTGGCAGAAGGCCAGAGTGACATGAAGTTTTATTTGAACAGACCAACAACAAATCTGTAGTGTAGACAAGCCCTGCTTGAAGAAAAGATTCTTCTTCTTTTTAAGTGACAGATACAAAAATAAAATGAACAAGGGGCATGGATGATTTTTAGGTGCCTTAGCACAATTCACATAAGCAGAGCATCACATGGGAAAGAAAGAAACATTCCTGCTTGAGTATAAAACAAACACTACTCTGTCAAGAACAAAACCCTTGCATTCCCTGAGTTCTGAGTTTAATTTAACAATTGACAAATTAAGAGTTTGTCTTACTGAGTGACTATTTTGAAGTCTACTTGGCTTCAGGGATAGTGACCAGCCCTGTCTTCAGGTTTGCAGAAGTTAAATTTTGCCTGCTTCAACACTAGAGAATGGAGTAAATGGCTTTTCAACGAAGGGCAAATTATTATATTTTGGTGCAAAGTTAAACTTTAACAATAAGCAGTAACCAAATCTGAACAAATCCTGTGAGAAATACACCAGGGTAAGCATGCAGAATTTTGACTCTTTTTAGAACGTGACAGTAAGGCAGATACTTGGAAAGCCCTTGAGATGTCACAATGCACATTTCAAGGCAAAGACTTCCACACAACCAGGACAGGATGAGTCCCAGTTTCTGGATGTCGAATAGGGCTGTGAACAAAACTGGTTCTGTAGCATTTTGCACAAGCAGAGAAAGGGCAAAATGTGGTTTGGGTGCAGAATTCAGCTTTCTCAGCATCTTAATCTTCATTTGATGAAATGGCAGAGTGGGGGGAAGGGGAGAGAATGTGTATTTTAGTCTTTGAGTTTCCAAGATAAGCTTGAAAGTATGTGGACACCACCTGACGAAGTCTCAGAAGGCAAAGGGGTTCTAAAATACGCTTTCCAGTGGTGGGGCTTCAATGCCCTGGATAGCTCATTCTTTCTCCAGCTAAAAGCAGAGTTATTAATTAAAAATTAAAAATTCAGAATCATGCTAACCAAGGCATTGTGCAGCTTGCATAATTTGCACAATTCAAACAAGTAACAGAATTCAGATTTCTTGGTGTATTACAGCCATACCTCATGTTGCTGTTTCTTTTCGGCTTGTGAGCGTGGCAAACCCGGAAGTCTATACTTCTGGGTTTCGCCGCGTGTGCAGAAGCGTTCTGTGTGCTTCGCGCATGCACAGAAGCACTGCTCTAGTTGCGGACTTTTCGGGGTGCGAACGGCACCCCTGAACGGATCGTGTTGGCAACTAGAGGTACCACTGTATTATTAGTTTTTGTTCTAAGTGTAGGAAACACAGTGATAGTTAGAAGGCACAGACAACTCCATGGCCCATTTGACCTTTATGTGATTTCTATACTTTTAACCTAATCTTAATTTTTAAGACAACAAATTTTTGGAGTTTCATAATACTTTCGGGTGGCACTGTGGATTAAACCACAGAGCCTAGGGCTTGCCGATCAGAAGGTCAGTGGTTCGAATCCCTGCGACGGGGTGAGCTCCCGTTGCTCGGTCCCAGCTCCTGCCAACCTAGCAGTTCGAAAGCATGCCAAAGTACAAGTAGATAAATAGGTACTGCTCCGGTGGGAAGGTAAATAGCATTTCCGTGCACTGCTCCAGTTCGCCAGAAGCGGCTTAGTCATGCTGGCCACATGACCCAGAAGCTGTACGCTGGCTTTCTCGGCCAATAAAGCAAGATGAGCACCGCAACCACAGAGTCATCCGCGACTGGACCTAATGGTCAGGGGTCCCTTTACCTTTAATACTTTCGGGAGTAATATCTTTGTACAGTATGGACTGTGTCCTCTAAAGAATCTTGTGCAATTCTTCTCTATTACCAACATTTATCCTCTGTGTGATATTTGGCCAGAAGACTACAGCACGTGCCTCTCGGCCGATGCTGCCTTTCAAGTTTAAATAAAAGCTTCTTTCAGCAAAATCTTCACAATGAATTTTGGCATCAATTACGTTATGCTTTGGGATTGGCTAGGATCACAGCATCAGGACTAGTTAGATAGTTAATTATATCCTGATCCAAAGACCCATTGAACCAAGCATTAGGTTACAAAAATCACCACAAAATCAACTCAAAGTAATTCATAAAGTTTTCAATATAGAATTATGAAAATCAAACAACATAGAGCTTTGCCTGAAACCTCCTATCCCAGCTGTCCTTACAGCTGGCAAATGCAGCGCTATGCCTTGGAGGCATCTTCTCCTCCATTGTTTCACAGCAGGGATGGGAAACCTGTGTTGGACTCCAACAGCCCCACTCAGCAAGCCTACTAGTCAGGGGTGATGGGAGTTGTAGACCAACAATATTTGGAGAGTTACAAATTCCACATCCCTTCTTTAAAGGCATTACTCAACAATATTTGGAGAGTTACAAATTCCACATCCCTTCTTTAAAGGCATTACTCTGCCTCCATCCCTGTTCACAAAGCTTTTTCCACCTTGGGTCTCCAAAAAAGATCTGCCCTGCTGCAGCGTCTTAACCATTTCTACCCCTCTTTCCTAAAATCTTATCCTCTCTCTCTCTTCAGGTGTTGGGAACGCCCCTGCTTCTTACACTACTGCCTAATCTGCTCTCCTTCCTTCAGCAATGCCAGTCTCCTTCAGAGCTACAGCTTCTCAAATTTCTTTCAATTATATTCCTAGACACCCATTAGGAACCAGACGTTAGATCCCCAGACAAGTAAGGCAGCTAGTTTCTCAAGTACTTATTCAGTCAGGTCAGCACATTATTCTTATCAGAAACACTAAGAGGATGAGCAGATTTTGTGCCTGGCCTAGGAAATGTGCCATGTTTCTGGAACACAGTTGATTTGATCCATGTTTTAATAAGGATGCTATAATAAAAAGGCTGCATTAATGTTAAAAAAAAGGTGAAGTAGCACAGAAAAATGGTAGACTATTGGAAAAAAAGAAAGCAGGTCAGCTTTAAATTTGCAAATGTGAACTATAATAGGTCAGGAATAAAGAGCTTTCTTCACAAATCAGTAGTTCCTTATTTCGAACAAGGAGCAACAGAGACTGTACATAACAAGCAGTGTCAGAAACTCAGATATATGAGCTAAGGGCTAAATGGTTTACAGTTGCCAAAACAGAACACCTAGTTGCCATTTAGGGGCAAGATGCCTCGAAAGTTGCATTTTTCAATATGGCTTTTTGGTTCCTGAAATTAATTCTGATTGTGCAGATAAAATATAACGGACAGAATTCTACAGGATGTGTTGCTAGTGTGTGAAAACAGTCCAGATCCAAGGTTCCCCAGGCATGCATCTTCACTTGGTCACAAAGTGGCAGATACTCAGGTGTAAAATACGCCTGGCCTATTTTGAATGCTGGTAACAAGACTTGCAGGATGAGGTCTTCAGCTAAACTATTACTACTCCCTCTTTGGGCCCAACTCCCTTTATATTCGTAGCATTTACTGTTTCTATAAACGCTATTTCAACAAAATCCAGCAACGTGCAAAAATTAAGCAAATGCAGCATGTAGTCATGAACCCTTGGTGCGAATTTTATGGAGTTCACCAACAATGCTATGCGTCACAGCTGCAGAAATAAACTCAGCCTGAACTATGGCTATTAGAGAATACTGGAAAAGTAGGAGAACCACCAGGATACAAAATAATATGTACACTTAGGCCAAGTGCACAAGAGTCTACCAGATGGGAGTTGGCCACAGAAGCCTCTGTTTTATGTAGAAAGCCTCTAGGCTCTAGACCCAAAAAGACCAAATTTAACCCCCTCCTGTCATGATCTGGCAAACGTGAAGGGCAGAAGGGTACAGAGTGAGATGTGCTTCAGTAGGGGAAAGAAGGCAACTGAATGGGTCTCCCCTCCCCCCCAAAAAATGTTTTAGATGTTCTGCCCAAAAGGTGTTCAGGTGTTCAAGATGAATTACAAGCAGTACTTAACAAGACTTCTGCAATTCTAACTGTTGTCCCCCCCCCAATGATTTTTTATACAAAACCTGTTGCTGCTGGGGGAGGGGATCGCTTGCTGTTTGTTTTCTCAAAAGCAGACTCATATAGGACATTATCCCCTGTGTAGAAAGTGCTTCTTTAGCCTTTATGCCGGATTTAGAGAAGGTTTAAGCGCTTGCAACATTAGGCAAACACAGTTTGTCTATGTTGCATAATGCATCATTTTTTATTTGGTTCAGAATGCTTCCCTGTGGTTTTGGGGAAATGAGGGAGAGGATGAAAGCAAAGCAAGGGATAATTGAGGCAATCCTCCTGTGCTGATATATGCCACCAGTTTTAATTCAGGTGATCTTTTATGGCTGTTACTTTGGGACACTTTTGTCTACGCATGAAGAGCTCCAGTACTACTTCTTAAACCTGGACTGAGAATTTGCTTGTTTGATTCTACTTTAACTCTGGGGAAACAGCTTTATATATACCAATTAGTGTTACACCTCAGAGCTTTATGGCGGTGTGGTATTTAACCTACTTTTTGTGTTTTCATGTACGGCAGAAAAGCCTGCTTCATCATGCCACTTAAAATAGCATTCTGGAGTTTTCCTGCAAGTTTAATGGCCATCTTGTTCTCCCTTCCCCCACCAAAACAAAGACTTTATCGCCAAAAAAGAAGTAAGAGAAGGTCCCTGAAATGAAAACATGTTGCAAGTCAGGGGGCCTGAACTCATTTGAGTATTCAGACGTTTCTCTCCTTAGCACAGGTTACAGAGATGTGAGGCAAGGTTTGTTTGTTTTTTAAAGGTTCAGTATGAAACAGGAATAAGTTCCTGAAAAACCATACGTGTTGTAGACAGACAGCACCACCCACGGCAACCCCATAACTGCTCCTATCTGTAATGCACTGCAGGTGAATACAGGGCCAATACTGGCTGAACACCACAGACGTTATATGCTATGCAAGGGGGCAATGTGTTGAAAGTGCATATGATCCGACCAGAGTGCTAT